GTTTTACTCAGTGTTCCCAGAATCAGAACCGAGCGAAGGTGAAGCAGCTTTTAGTTTCTCTGCTTCCCACCTGTGGAACAAGCTTCCTGAAACTCTCTCATTTAAATCAGGGTTCAAAACTTCACTATTTGCTGCAGCTCATCCAATAAATCATATTTTTAATCTTGCACATTTGCTTGTTTTTTTTTGTTTTTATCACTGCAGTCCCTCCTGATTTTAAGACTTATTCAAATATTTTTATCTACTCATATTTGTTTTTATTGTTTTTAAATGCTGATTTAATGTCGTCTTAATGTTGTATTTTAATGTATTCCCATCCCACATAAAGCACTTTGAATTACATTGTGAATGGTGCTGTATAAATAAACTTGCTTTGCTTTACATTAGCTGCTACCTGCATAACACACCTGAATCTCTGACTGAACTGTTGCATTGTGGGTAATAGAGGTGCTGTGTTCTGACGAGGAAGAAGAATGCGTGGAATAAAAAAGACACTTTATGTCTGAGCAGCCTGGTGACGACGGAGGAAGGAGAGTCGTGAGGTGTTGATGTGAGGTGATGAGATGATTAGCAACAGGTGTGGAGTGGAGCCAGGAGACCGAGGCCGCAGCGGCTACGACACACACACACACACACACACACACACACACACACACACCACACACACACACACACACACACACACACACACACAAACAGGGGAGGAGGAGACACAGGGGAAAGTTGTGACACCTCCTTCCTCTAGGGAGTCTCTAAACCCTCACAACCGTGGCCTCATCCTGGCTTCACTTGTTTCTTTTCTTTTTTCTCTTTTATGATCAAATCAAATAAAGTGTGTGTGTGTGTGTGTGTGTGTGTGTTGAAATACAAAGCAATGAATGGAGTTACTTTATGGCTGTGTCTGTATCTTGATGATGAGTCAGGTGCAAGCAACTCTGGGGCTGAAAAATGAATCCAACACCAAAGTGACAAAAAGCTGCAGTTCCTCTAACGACCACTAGAGTCTGGCTCCAACAGTGAGTCAGTCCCCATAGACTCCCATGTTAAAACGTCCAACTTTACAGCAGAAATAAACATGTTTACAGCCTGGGGTTAAAACAGTTTTGGTCTCTAGAGCTAATTTCCACCTTCGTATTTCTATAACTCACCTGTTTACATTTTATTGAGGCTTAGAGTTCTCTTCCGAAACCTGTGGGTGATGTCACCACGGCTACAACCGTCTCTATATACAGATGCTGGACAAACAAACGTTGGAGCAGTGGAGAAGCAAAGAGAAAGGTGAAAAAAGAATATATATATATATATATATATATATATACATATTGGTGCTGGGCAGGTAACATGCAGCATCTGTAAACAAGGTCGATGACGGCAGCGAGAGACAAACCCACAAGACCGAAGAAGCACCGAAACCCTCCATAGAACGGATGGGAAGTGCACTGGGTGATAATATCTGTGGGTGTATGACGATGAGCAACCCCTTTCACATCAGTCATAGTCATATGATCCACTGTTAATATGAAAATATTGATTACAGCAGCTTTAAACTGTTTAAACACAGCCCATATCATTGCCAGTTTATTACATGGCCAGGAACATTGTCCAAAAAAAAAGACAATTTACCCTCAATTTCTATTAAATGACTTTCTATAAAAGTATGAAAGTATCATATTATCCTACTTTATCTCTCCCTGTTCGACATGTAGGTCTCAGCCTGAAAACTGACGTGTAAATTCCCGTTTGAACCCAAGTGCTCCTGCAGGACCGGCGTGAGCTTCAGAGCCGGCCCTGGCAGATCAGGTGCACACAGCACATGTGCAGTTATCTCGTTAATTTAAAGGGTTTCTGGGCATCCTGCCAGCTGCAATGGAGTATGCCAAGGTAGTAGAGCATCATAGAGCTAATATTATTTAGAGATATTACAATGATCTACAATATGCTTCATTACATGCGGGGGTTAAGGGTGGGTGTTGTACAGGGACGACTTTGCTCAGCTGGCTGACTTATTGAATGCCGACACTTGCCGGCAGGGTGATCGCAGGGGTTTAAAGTCATCCTGGTGTCGTAGAACTGTTTGCAGAAAGGGCAACAAATCTACGACCTGTGATGCCCTGAGTGGCGTTCGCTCTCCCCAAATCAGAGGAGGTGCAGGTGGGAAATCCCGGGATTATATGAACATGGCTCAGTAACCCCCAAAGGGTTTTATGATTATCTCTTATCACCAGAGTCAAATGAAGCCAGATCACACACTTGAACTATGCTAGGTCTCTATATTAGTGTTTGTTTTTTTTTTTAAATATATTTTTACTGCATGTTTTCCAGCTTCAGTCAGTCTTCTCATTATATTAATTAAGGCCTGATAGTGATTGACAAGCGTGTGTTATAAAACAAATAAGAGATGCCTCTGCGGATGGAAAAACACCACAGTGAAATTCATTAAAACATATAGAGTAGAGTTAAGATAATAAGAAGTAAGTTAAAATAATGAGATCACTATTTATTTCAGTGGGGCCTGATTTATCTGGATATTTAGCTGCTTGTTTAATTTTAATCGATATTTTTTATTTTTCATCCGATATGTAATTATCTAAAACCTTATTGATTTACTTCATCCTTTCTGTTTTAATTGATGTAATTATGACCGATCTGGTCTTCCATACAGATGAGGCTGCATCATGTGTGAGCTTGACAACACTTAAAGGTATTGAGCAGTGATTCAGCAGTTCGTTGTCTGTGGTTTCAGTTTCAGTTTCAACACAATTCACTCCAGGGCTGCAGAACAGAGACAACACCACACACTCAAGACTCAGAGGTAGAGTAACATTCATCATTTCTAACATAAGGGACAAAGCTTGTTGACGCAGCATTAATCTTGATGTTTGTTATTCAGTAACACTGCATAGTCTGTAATTTCATTGTGTTGCATTCATGATGATGTTCTGCACATTCTGTTGCTGATAATGTGCAAAAAGCCAGAATCTTTTAAGTAAGGACACAATTTCCATTTTGGTGTTTCTAATTTTCACCATCATTTACAGGCGATGTCGCAGCATTTCCCCCCAAATTTAAGGTTTTTCATTCTGGAAAGCAGAAAAAATACAGGGTGTGTCACTGAAAGGGAATATAATGAGTTGATATTTCATATGATAAAGTTATTGACTTAAATCTCTAGGATGTTTTTATTGTTTCTATCACAAGTTGGTGCAGTGGTTAGATCAACAGCAAGAAGGTTCTGGTTTTTGAAGCCTGGTTCAGTTTTCTTTCTGGGTGGAGTTTTCCTGTGTTGCCCAGGGCCTGTATGGGTTTCCTCTGGGTGCTCTGTCCTCCTCCCACAGGAGGCATGCCACAAGACATGCAAGTTAGGTTTTCTCCACTCTAACCTGCACTTAGGTTTGAATGTGATGGTTGTTTTTCTCTAAGTGTTGTATATGGTGATAGACTGGCGACCCGATGCGAGCTGGGATTGGCTCCAGCCCCCCCTGCAACCCTCAAAGGATAAGCAGTAGGCTATAGGTAATGGACGGCGAGAGTTTAACATCTGCTCATCCCCGTCCTCTTTCCCAAATGCGTGCCCTTTGGCTCAGTGCTGGGGCACCGTCTTTTTGTGATATACACCCACTTCTTGGGTCCAACTATCTGCTCACATGGCTTCTCAAATCACGGCTACGCAGACCACGCCCAACTGTTACTGTCACTTTCGAGTAAACCTCTGTGAGACCGAACTCTTCATCATCACAGTATCAACACCAAAATGACCAGTTGTCATTCTATGAACGAATGAACGAATGAATGAATGAATGTTGCATCATACGCCACAGAACTCTTGGTGCAGTTCATGGTCATCTCTCGCCTTGACTACTGCATTGCTGTTCTCCAGGGTGGAGAATGTGTGGTCTAGTCACTAACGCCTAATGACTTCTGTGGCGGCACAAATGTACTTGAATTCAACCATCGAGGCTTTTGCTCCTTCCTTATGATCTCGCCTTTCACCAACGCTGAGGTCTCGGGCTTAAAAAGGTTGGTGACCGCTGGTCTAGACGGTTCTCATTTGTGGTTCCCCCGATAATGGAACAAGCTACCGTATGTTATCAGAGCATCTTCAAAACTCCTGTGAAGACTCGTCTCTTCCGAGAGCCGCTCCTGCTCCTCCCAACGAGTCCTCCGACCTGAACAAACATACAGGTCGTTTTTTTGAACCCATCGGAGTGACTCCCGAATTATGGCGGCATGTGTACCGGACCTCGGTTGTCGTGGTTACCATAATATACACACGCCTGTAGCGAAAGCGCCGTACCCAACAATGTCGTGGTTACGATAATAACGGTCATGCCTTGGTTAGGTTTAGGAAAAGATCATGATTTGAGTTAAATAAGTACTTCCTAAACATCAGACGCTCTCTGTTGTCACGGTTACAATAATAACAACGAACGGTCATGGATAATAGAAAAAAATATAACATATTGGTTTCACATGGGAATCGAACGGCGACCTCCTGTGTCATGCTCCTGTGTTTTGTTGACCCATCCATCCACCACAACCTCCTCCTGACGCGGACTTTGTCGCTCTTTATTCTACGTCACTTCCTGTCATAATTACTACGACCACTAGATGTCGCCTAGCAACAAAGCGTAACTATGGGTCACAGTAAGCTGCTGCACAGACGACCTGCAGCCTCGTTTTTCACAGTAGGACATGTCTCCTCCTAACACCATAACACTTGCTGTGTACTTTCGGTGCATTTCTTTGGCTGATGTCCTCGCACTTTGTCTTACTGAACAGATTTTGTACTTACTACTCAACTTCAAGGTCTCCTTCTGTACAGAAGCTCTAGTGTTGCCCCTCACCTATAGGTCACTTGGATAAAAGTGTCCAATGCCAAGTTGTAGTTGTAGTAATTGTGCTACTTAAAGTTCTTAGACCTTACTGTTGGCTTAGCAAACAATTTTCTATTTGTTTGAGTTTTGGTTTCACATACGATGTTTCTCTACCAGGTTGGAGACATGTCTTCAGACATCACGGAAGTGTCTGCCCTGGGTCGACCTTTCACCTTAGGGATGCTTTATGATGCTTTGCAACATAAACTGATCCCAGGTAAGTCTTTATCTGAAGTCTATGAAAGTAACTCATCATCAGAACTCAATATAGTTTATCAACTCACAGAATAAAAATAATAATTTATGATATACAGTAAGATATGCATGGAAATGTATTTTATGTCACAGCATCCTTTGTAAGACAGTGTTTATACCCAGACTTATCCTTCGTCCCTAGTCTCATTACACTTGGTGTGAATTATGGGCACAGCCTCCAGGTATTTCTTTCCCTGAACGGGTTTATCTGTTTGCAACAGGTGTCTTCCCTTGTCTTAGAGAGTTTTAGGGAATAAATGATGTGGGAACAAAACCTATTACCTTAAAGGAGAAGTTAGACATTTTACAAGGCATCAGGAGCCACGCTTTGCGATGCAACGGTATGGGCTGCTGACGCGAAGCAAAAATCACCCACAGGCCAGACCGTCTCATTTCGGTTCGGCCTTCACGGTCTATGATAGCTACAAAGGGCGCCGCCTTAGTAGACTGCGTCCTCTGAAGGACATGAATTGGGACACAGTTTTTGTGTTATCTGAGACTATTTCGTCAAATCTTCCATCCTTTTTAACAAGTCCTCCAACCCTCCGATACGACCCATAGGAGTGACTCCTGAAATAGCGCCCTCGCCCAGTTTTATGCGTACTGGTCATGGTTATCATAATAAACAGAATACTGAGAGCGGCGTACCCAACGCAGCCGTGGTTACTATAATGACGGTCATGCCTTGGTTATAATAAGTACTTCCTCAACATCAGATGATCTTCGTTGTCATGGTTACAATAATAACAACGAACAGTCATGGATAATAGAAACAATATTTAATCCTCCCTCTTCACATTAGCCCATTGAAGGTGTGACAAGCTGTCAGATGCCGGTTCGGTGAAAGGAATTACCGGAAGTTGCGCCCATAACTCACGCTGGAGTTGAGGGTTGTTGAAGCTTTTACTGGCACCTGTCAGCTCTTTGTGTGTCCTCATTTTAACAAAATGATTTTCCTACTTAAAAATGATCCATTATTCATAGGTGTCACATTGTGGGATGAAACAACTCTCAAAGGGCACTCAGTTGAGAACCCTCAGTACAGCAGCGCATTTGAAATCCTCACCTCAGATTCCATTGAAGACAAGTCCTTTCTGCTGGGCGTCGATGCGTCTCTGAAGGCCAGTTTCCTGAGTGGACTGGTTGAAGTTGAGGGATCGGCGAAGTATCTGAACGACAAGAAGAAATTCCACCATCAGAGCAGAGTGACGCTGCAGTACAAAGCTACGACTACTTTCAAACAGCTGTCAGTGACTGATGTTGGAAAAATGGATACACAACAAACAGATGTCATTGAGACGGGCTTGGCGACACACGTAGTCACAGGAATCCTTTATGGGGCAAACGCTTTCTTCGTATTTGACAGCGAGAAGTTAGAGGACAGCAGCGTTCAGGACGTCCAGGGAGGCATGAAAGCTGTGATAAAGAAGATTCCTGACTTTGACATTGAGGGGCAAGTTGATATCAAGCTTACTGACAAAGAAAAAGCCCTGACAGACACATTGTCCTGCAAGTTCTTAGGGGACTTCCTTCTTGAAAGCAACCCTGCAACTTTTGAAAAGGCAGTGAAGACTTACATAAAACTTCCCAAGCTACTGGGAAAAAATGGAGAAAACTCTGTTCCACTGAAGGTCTGGCTGTTGCCGTTGAAGTATCTGAACTCCAAACCTCCTCAGGAGATGACTGAGGTCAGTGTTGGACTGGTGAGGAAGGTTCAGAGTGCTCTGGAAGACTTAGATCAACTGGGAAAAAGATGCAACGACTGTCTGGAGCACAAAGTTGTGAAACATTTTCCGAAGATTGACGAGAAGTTGAGGAGTTTCCAGAAACTCTGCACTTTTTACATGACTACACTCCAACAGACGGTCGCAAAGAAACTGCCCCTCATCAAGAAAGGAAAAGAAGATGAGAGCGAGTTAGAGAAATTCTTAAAAGACAGAGACAAGTCGCCGTTCAGTCAAGACAAATTAACTAAGTGGTTGGATAATAAACAGAGAGAGATCAATGTCATCGGCTCCTGCGTCGATATGATGGAGGGAACAGAGATAAAAATTGTCCCGGGTCAGTTAGAGCTGGAGAGAGAGGTTCTGGCCCCAGGTGTAGAGCATGCTCTCTGCTTTGTTTTCACCTCACTGGAGACCACCGAACCCTACCTGCAGGAGTTGGCCGACTACGTGGATCCGCTTAAGTTAAAGGGCAATGTGGGCGTCGCCCCACCTGCACAGGACCACTGGTACTTGTCAGATGAGGTGGTGGTCAGCATGAGAGGAAAAGCCAAAGCTTTCCACGACCTTGCTGAAGCCCTGAAGAGAAGCAGGGGCTTCAGGTTCCTCGCAGCGACTTCAGCAAATGAGAAATATAAAGGCGCAAACATCTACCATTACAAAGATGGCGTCCTGATCAGTGATGACTTCTCAAGGCCTGACCTTCCTCCGGTGGATGCTATCAAAGACAGAAGTGCTTTAATTTGGTGTGAGTCATTTTATTCCTTCATTTTTCCCACTTCCAGTCAAATAATGACAATTTTCCCTCCTTCAGGAACCGTGCCATGCTAACCGCAACCCTTTAATCCAACAATCCAATCTGACTTTAAGGTTACAGCCTGCAAATTATTATTTTGTAATGATCTAGTGTATAGAGAGTATCAATAAAAAAACCCCAATATGATTATAATAATATTTAGATAATTAATAAGACGGAGGTTAAGCAATAGGCATACCTGGATGTGTAATTATGTTCTCCACCACGATATAAAGCAACAAGACACCATAACATAAATGAACAGATGTGGATGAACGCTCACACCGCCACTGCAGGCGTTAACAACGTGGCGTTAAAGAGGGAAAAGAGGGAGCTGGGTTGTTTTTCTTTTTTAAAATCTCACGTGACTGTGTTGCATTAATAAAACACGTCCACCCCAGTTTGTGGAGGAGGCCTGGCTGTATTTCATTATCAGAGAGCGTATATAGGGAAATTTAATATTCTCCATCTAATGGGGAAATTCAACCACTTGGTTTTATGATCTCTTTACCTTGAGTTTTAATCTACAGACAAATTATCACAAGAGTTTTTGAATCTTTCCGCTTTTGCTTTTCTTCTCTGTGATAAAATCGTTTTGCTTCGCCTCTGGTTTCTCTTTAAAGAGACGCACCCCGGACAGTTTTCTCTCCCCTGGTTTTACTGTTGATAGTGTTGATGTCTGCGAGGATAACTCGCAGACATGTAGACAAACAACATAAACGGAAAAAGGTCAGACAGGTGAAAGTGTCGTATGAAATTCTGAAAGAACTAATGTCCACAAATCATGAAGTAGTAAAAGATGCAGGCGCTCATATCTCTCCAACATCATGACCCCACAGTCAAAACCACTGAGTCTGTGATTAATCCTCCTCTATTGTCTGTGAGCAATGTCTGACTTTTTACAAACAAAACAAACAGCAAACTCCAGATGTTTCAAAACTCAAATTCATATTAAATGATGTGGATTTGTTTTGAAAAGTTCTGTTTAAGGAACATTTTACTATATTTTCAGTGATAACTAAGTGTCATGTGTTTTCCTTTACCTTCAATATGTGCTGCTTTATTTAAAAACCGTGTAATTTAGTCCTCCCCTTCCCAAACACAAATTTGTCACCCCCTGGTTTACCTGGTTTACCTGGTTTACCTGTGCTTACTCACTTCTATGTTTACTGTAGGTCTCAGTACGTGATTCCTTCATACTTTGTACTTCACTGTAATATTCACACTACAACGTGCAGGCTGTAATCTAAAGCTGACAAAGATATATTGCTAATTTAAAATGTTTTCATATTTGTAACCCCAGACAATGCTGTGCTCCGAGTGTGAACAGTGATTATGATGAGTGCTGACAGTGGTGTTGTGGTTTTCCCCCATCAGATGCCAGTGTTCTCACCCTGGACCCAGACACGGCAAACAACAACCTCATCCTCTCTGAGGGGAACAGGAAGGCGACGCACGGAGCGCAGCAGTCCTATCCCGATCGACCCGAGAGATTCGATAATTTTTATCAGGTTCTGTGCAGGGAGGGGCTGACGGGCCGCTGTTACTGGGAGGTGGAGTGGAGCGCTGGCCAAAGTGAGGATGTTGCTGTGGGCGTCAGCTACAAGGGAATTTTTAGGAAGGGGAAAGATGAATTGTGCAGGATCGGGTGGAACGTGATGTCCTGGTGTTTAGGCCACAGGTGGCCCCCCCAAGCACCTACACTCTACGCAGAGCACAATCATAAGAGCCAGTTTTACCCTCCTCCGTGCACCGGCTGCACCCAGCTTGGAGTGTTTCTGGACTGGCCCGGTGGGACTCTGTCCTACTACAAAATCTCATCCAACACACTGAGTCACCTCCACACCTTCTACGCCAAATTCACTGAGCCTCTTTACCCAGCGTTCATGATTTGGCGTGAAGGCAACTACGTGCACCTGAACCCGCCCATGGTCGCAAACTGACAGGCCACACGGCGTTCAGTAGGTCGTAGTTGGGAGTGTCGCTTGGTATCACATGATTCAAGTTCAGCTCACCACACTTAAAAGTGATAGTTGGGTTGTGTGAGGTACTTCCTCCACAGTCAGTGTGTTACCTGCAGTAGATTCAGATTAGTGCGCTGCCAGTTTAGAGAAGCAGCAGGAGCCTCTTAAAAACATCCTCAAACAGTTGAAGTCTACACTTTATTTTGTGATAAAATGCCTTTATTTAGTTCTGGCATATCAGAGTAAAAATCTAGAACAAAGATCCTGAATAAGAGAGTAAAACAGTGACCGGTCTCCACCGCTACAGGGTCTCCCTCAAGGCACGGCTTGAGAAGGAAGTAAACCAGAGTGGAGCACCGTGATTCCTTATATAGACCGATCTCAGGTCAGCTATACAAACACTGTCGTCATGATTCTTTTCAATTAAAATGACCTGTAGAATACAAGTAAACCTGCATGTCTTGTGTGTTTTTAACTTCATATTTGCATTATTCTGCATGTATTTTGTGTCTCTGCTACTAAGACATTTTCTGTCCTCCAGCACATATTCAATAAACTGTAACTCCCCACTGTGTGTCCCAGTATGTTTAATAAAGAAGAGAAGAGTTCAGTTTCACCTCTTTGATAAAATACAAACTCAACTCACAGTTAACTTGTTAACATCTGCGCCATCCTCGGCTCTGGGAGGATGGTTTAACCTCGTTAGTGAACCCACCTGTAGATGTTTCCTGCAGACTTCTAAATCTTATCTCTGGTCAGTTTTGTATTAAATAATTATTGATAAATATGTAAAATTCACCCAAAACTGCTCCAGCTAAAAAAATAAAACAGTCTTGAGCGACAGCTTGAGAGGATTCAGTCCCTACATAACTACACCTTTATATCCGCCACAGTTCCTCACAGCCTCAAACAAACATATGAACCACTTACTAAGCCCCCTTCAGTTCCTCGGCCTCTTGCACTGGTTCAGAGACGTGCTGTCTGCTCGGACCCCGGTATATATACCTACTGTCAAGTCCAGTTTGATTATCTAGTGTATTTTTATTACAATAGAGTGCTGCAGGGATGACGTATTGGCGTTGGCATCACCCTGGTCCCCTTGATGAAAAGCCAGTGAATGAAAGGCTGGATATTTGTTAAGACATGTAAATTTTTTACTGTACACAGCTGCACAACAGCTGGACTCAGTGAGGAATGTAGGCGTGATTTGTTATTTAGGGACACTCGACGAACCGCATTCTTCTTTTTACCTCCTGCCAGAATCATCAGCGCCACGATCACAAACACAAACGTCTTGGCACGACGGAGTCAAAGAGCTGGACATTACTGCTGATTGTAAAAAGCGGGAGAGAGAGAGAGAGAGAGAGAGAGAGAGAGAGACAAAGGCAATAGACAGGATGCAGTGAAAAGCTGAGACGTCGTGTTTTCCAGAGACTGCTGACGGGCACAGTCAAGTCCAGAAAAGGTTTGCACTGTGAGATCTCTAATCAATTGTGAAGGGAAAAAGGGGGAAATACATCACAGTGGCAGTGGGTTGGAGATATAATGTTAATGGGCCTTCTGTAAAGATGATCTCAACAAGAACACCGCGACTTTCCTCTGATGTAACATTAACCCATGTAACCGTCGTTCATGTTTCCTCATCACTGGATTGTGTGAAATTCATTAAAAAATATCTGCTGTCAGAGTCCACTTCTTATCTCGGCTACTGACCTCGAACTAATGGTGAGTTTTCTGGAGCGCACCGACTGCTTACCAAGCCCTTTTCAACTCCATGCTTATAACTGACGGGAACCACTGACATTGTTTTTGTGTTCACAACCACACACACACACACACACACACACACACACACACACACACACACACACACACACACACACACGCAAACAACACTTTTGCTGCATTGCACAGTCGCTTTTTAATTCCACGTCATTTCACTTCAGCTTTAATTTTTCAGTATAATGAGCATGTTTCTCACAGCCACAGCACGTGGAAGTCTGAATCTTTAATTTATAACAACAAAAGAAAAAGTACAGTGAGCAGGAATGTGTTCGTTAATAACAAAACAAAATAACCCAACTAATGATTGGTCTTTGAATCACATGTTCTTGTATGAATGAGTGAATGAGTTTCCTCCCGTTTTAACTAAGGTTCAAACAAAGTTTCTGATTATTTTGCCGTTGAGATATTTCCAGAGGTTTTTACCTGGAAGTATGAACAAGTAGAACAAGTTGGGTGAAACTGGCATTTCTGAACCTTTCATCAATTCATTTTAATGGGAAAAAATTTCCAAAAAGTATTTCAGAAAGTATGAAATATATCAAAGAGAGAGAGAGAGAGAGAGAGAGAGAGAGAGAGAGAGAGAGAGAATAATATCTTAATTGATCTGAACATTTTAAAGGTTGAGTTTCTATGTCGACGTGCATAGAACCTGCCATTGATATATAGCGTCATTACTTCCTTGGTTATGTGACAAGTGGCAGAAATGGGCTTCTGTGTTATTATCACAATGAATTATTACAATTCATCTTTAGGGCGACATGAATTTACAGAATTTCTCGACACCATTCAAGAGTTGTTGTCGTGTTATTTCAGTCATTTACTTGTGTGTTTTCCCGTGTTTCACATTTCACAAGATATTTGTTTCCAAAATTTGCTCTTTATTTATTCATCGTTGCCAACGTGATTTAGATTCTTCTGCTCTGAGCAGCATTCACTATTTATGGACACAGTGATGTTTTAAGTGCAGTTAATTGTGAGCACTCAGAACCACAACTAATAATTAACAAGCAATTAACATATCCATCCCACTCGGGATGGATTCTAAATTGTTCAGACTGTGTACAAATAATTTTAACTCCACACAGACCTGGGCTGAGATTTTGAACCTTTGTGAATCATGGCGAGGCGTGAACTTTGACCCCATCACTGATATATATACATATATTAAAATATAAATATTCTAAATGTTTATATGTTATAACATGTTGCAACCATATATGTTAACGATATATATTTAATTTATTTATGCTATGTTTATAATATATATGTTTTTATTTTTCATTTTAAACATTATCTTCCATTTCTGGGTTGTCTCAGACTTTTTTATATTTTGTTTCCACATACATGTTTTTATTTTATATGTACATATATTTCATTTATGTAAATTCAATATACTGTATATACATATATTACATTTGCATATGGGAACCTTTGTTTTATATTATTTCATTTTATTTTTTCAGTAATTACTGTTAATTTCTAAGATATCTAGATTATTTTTTTAAGGCTTAACAACTGTTCACGGGATTTTGAAAAACAACCTAATGGAAGAGAATCTGCTGCAGATCTGATGTCGCACAATTTCCTCCAGGGTTTCACAGTTAATAAGATCAAAGAGTGTCATGGCAACTTGATTAGTTTAATACATGAGTGATAAGTAATGAACCAGTAACAACAATTATATTATAATTATAAAGCACCTTCACCACATTTTGAGTTTATTCAGTGTTTTATTTTTATTTTAAAAAAGAAAGTAAATAAAAATAAGTTAATGGTTGCAAAATGAAATGTTCTGCATTGTATCATGTTGCAAGTTCATATGACAGATTTATTAGAATAATGTCTCATAATAATAACGATTGACATATCTGGATGCAAACGCAGCAGAAGCATCTGGACACACGGCAGCAGCTGGTGAGCAGCTGCGCTCCAGCAGCCGGCCGAGGTGCGCTAATAGAAGTGATGAGTTCAGGAGGTCAGCTGTAACCAGCATGACAGCGATACTGTGAATCTTCTCGGCATTTGTCTTAGTAGTTTATTGTCTTGTCATCTTGACGGTGGTCCTGGTGATGAGAGGGCAGGGCTGTAAGTGTGAGTTAAATGTACAAATGAAGTATTTGTACAGAACATGGTGCAGTTTCTCCAAACTGTTTTTCCACTCGTGCACATTTTGGGGTAAATGTTTTATATTTCTGTCAGTATACAATCGTGCCATGAAATGTACATGTCACATGACCACGAGACACATCAGACTGAGAAAGAGAATTTGAAAGTGTCTAATTTTGAATCAAATGTTCTGTGCGAGCATCAAATGACCAAAAATAGAGTTAAAGTTGCTTCAAAAAGTTTTGTTCATGGGGCTGCTGTGAGCGGTGGGTGTTTGAAGTGGAGGGTTGCCACTGAACATTATCCACTGAATGTCTGACGTCCGTCCTGGCTGATGTGGGACAGTAGACACACTCTCTGCAGTCTGGATGAAGGCAGCAGTGTCAATCAATGTATTCCTGCTCTGGTCGTTTTTGGCAAATGATGATAATTAACAGCAAACTGAAGCTATAAGCTTTGGGCAGTTTATGTGGATCATGTCATGGAGACCTCCAGCAGGGAGGATGGAGGTCTTGTGGTGCGGAGGACCTGATCCAGGGCTTGAGAGGGAATAGGGATGATGGGAAGAATCAGAGTCCAAATGCAGACAGAGGCTGGTCAGTAGAAAATGATCAAAAACAACAAGTTGCAGTGCACTCGCTAGCACTGTGGCTGCTGAACAATCTGGTGATGAGTGGAGGACAGGCTGGAGTATTTGTACTGTGGTTGATGAGGTAATGGCGTGCAGGTGTGGTAGGGGAAACCACACCCACAGGGGGTGGCAACACAAGGGGATCCAGGGAGAGAATTTTACAGATTTCTCCTAATTTATTACGATCAAACACGTTCAATACAGTGATGCCACTCGTAGTTCTGCAGCGAAAAACTGTTATTTTACAGATTTTCCCTAAATTATTATGATCAAACAACATCAATAAAGTGACGCCACTAAAGTTTCTGCAGAGAAACTTTTTCCTAATAATAAAATGAAGTGTCAGTCAATGAAATATTAACACATGTTTAATATTGTAAAGTAAACCTTTTGTTTTGGAAGACAAAGTTTTCTTACATTTCTCATAAAATATAATATACTGAAGAAAGGCAAATTAAACTGTTAAGTCTCTGTATGTAGTTGGAAACTTAATTACAAATAACATACACACCACTATTGACTTTATAACACTTTTATTTAATATATTCAGATGTAAATTTACAATATCAACCAGTTATTCACAAATAGTTCTTCAGAGCCCCGGGATGATCTGAAGAACTAAAACTGGCATTTCTCCATTGGTCTATCTTGCCTGTTAAGGTTCCTATAATGAGGAGGTGATGATGTCACCTCTGAAAGAGGGGGGGCTGTGGAGCTGAGGGGGTGTGGTCTGTTGTTTTTTAGCTTGTATCTTCCAATTCAGTTTTATCTTGTTTTCCACAGTATTCTCCATATAG